TTTTGTGCCAAGTATCACGCTGGGGGGTCCACATCCAAATCCTCTGCAACAAACGCGTCTGCCTCTTCTTCTTCAGCGGGAGTTGCAGCTGATAAACCAGATCTCGACCAGATCCTCAAAGACAATCTGGTGAGGCTCACTGCGGATATCGGCGGCACGATGGGTATGAAAGAGGCGACGACCAAGAATTACTTGGAGTACTTCAAGGAGGGTAGGGCTGGCGGGGCTGGGATGTTGGATGCCAAGTTCATTGGCGCCAAAGGAAAGGGAGCGGGAGGGTCTCCGTCGATGTACCTTGCTATGATGGGTGCTGTTTCGACAGTTGTAACCATGCTTTGAGATCATGGACTTTGATCGGGGACTTGTGAGTAGTGCGGCCCCTTTGTACATTATCCTTACGCGCCCGCCCATTCAAGTCGTTCCGGCAGTCCACTAGATATATCCCAGCCTTTGTAGCTGAAACCAGATGCCCACTTGCTAGAATTGTGTATATGCCTTTGCCGACTACATATTTATTTATGCTCTGTGGCCACAGTCCTTTGTATGAATGGCAAATCACATTATCAATGTGATAAGCGCCCTTTTCAGTTAATCTGGAACAATGCCGAACTCCATGAACGGTGTGTTCAAAGGTAAAGGGACCCGATTAGCTGACTGTGGAAACGGTCGGTAAGATAAGTCAGACAGCACAGTGGCATACTGAACACGGATGGCCATTGTGCCATTGCGGTCCTTTGTTCCGGGTGCCCAAGTCCTACTGCAGCTTCACGGCCTCTAACCGTGCCACCACAGTACGCACCACGCTCGTTTTGCCGCAAGCACAAAGGGAGTTGGTATTATGAGCGTTGCCGAGGTTGTTTCCATACTAATTTTGGTATGGTATTTAATCGAAGGGCCAGGCCGATTGATCTCAACCATTCTTCACCAACACTTCCCTCAGGCAATCTGCACATCCACAGCCAGCTCTACAGACTTTTCAAACCATGAAATACAAGTTCCAAGCCTTTGGCGTTAAAAAGGTCACGGCGAAAGCTGCCTTGGCCAATCACATCCGGTTTTACTACGACAACATTGCAGAGAAGCCAGAGTCTGAACATCCTCATCATAATTCTGGAGTGTGGAAAGGAGCTGACGCTCAAACACGTAGGGTATACGCTCAGTGTGATTGGTGCTTCACTCCTCAACGCAAGTGACGAGATGGTATCTTGTCTGAACGAGCCCCTTTGTTGGTCTCCCTCCGAGACTTGCATTCTCTCCTAGGTGTTACTTACTATATCCCTTTATTTCTCTTCCCCTTTTCAGGTTAATTGATGGTTTATCAACGTAACAGTACCGCGGCTTAATTCAGCGGATGCTGTCCAGGGTTATACGTACATAATACAAGGAGTGTACTATTGCCGGAGGAAGTCGCTGTAGCTCAAGTACGGTAGTAACGGCGTCCAGTCACCAATGACAATTGATATGCCCCATTTCTCCGCCTGGAACTTTAGCGACTCCATGGCCATTTCTGTGCAAAGTAACTTTTCTATCTGTACCGTTGGACCAGACATCCGAGGTTGCCTTGCCGCTGATTCCGCTGTGTCGTCCATCAAGCCATACGCAGTTGTGCTCCTATCCCCAAGTATATCGGAGAAATCGACAGAGGCTAGATTCTCGGACAAAGTGACGTTGGGTACACGGATGACCTGAAGCTTTGGAAGCAGCTTTTTGGCACGGACTGCCAGTCCAGCGATGTAAAGTAGGCTCTCTACGGCGCCCAAGAGCTCAATTGTTTGCACATTAGGGATGCTTTCTTCCAGCATCTCTGTCGGAGGTATGCAATGGCAAACATATGTTTCAAGTAGAGGAAGAGGGCTCGGGAGTAGGGGTTTTGTGAGGTCGATACTAGTTGGTGGGCTGTGCCAGTGGCCGATGGGGTCCTCCGGGCCCATGATCAAGAGCTGAGTGATGTTGGGGGCATCCAGGTATCCCATGAGACGACTTGTAGTCATCGGATAGCCCCGTATTTCGAGCGAGCGAAGTTGGGGTACTTGAATAGCCCGTGGTTCTGGCATCCTAGGATAGTGGGTGTCGATGGAATCGCCGACGGAAACGAAGGAAATCAAGCTGCGTGCACTTGGGAGCAGCCATGCTAAGCTGCGATAGGACCACTGCATGGCACAGGAGTATATATGGGTAATGTGTCTCCAACGGCCGTGCATGTACAGGGTGTTAGAGGAACCATTGTCAGGCAGTTGGCTGGTGCCTAGCTCTCCCAAACCGAAAAGGTCAATTTCGGTGACGTGCTTCAGACATGGGTCTGTGATGAAGCTCAGAGCAGTCGACTCGATTTCCTCCCAAGAGCTGATTCTGAGACAGACAGTATTTAGGGCCATACAAGCAGACAGCGGGGCGCTTGACCGGTGGCCAAAAGAAGCATATAACTGGTCGATTATACCACTGGATGGTAGCGTCTGCTGCCGCAGCTTGACCCTTGAATGACGGAGAATAGCCAACGGGATCGCGACTTTGGCCCATCGGTATGACTCTTCCAAGAGTCGCTCAAGCAACTCCACATCGAATGGCCACTGTGACGGACAGGAGGGCCATGTCGGCCAGGAGTCCATGATTTCCCGCGAATACTCGAAGTAGACATCGATAGGCAAATGATTTGACAGCTGCACACGAAAGCAAGCATTCTTGCTTGAGAGACCCGGTTGACTTGATCAGACTGTGGTATGTTGGTAAATGGATATGGTTGATGATTGATAGGATTCGGGGTAGTTGACGGCCATATCATCGGTTGGAGTCCAGTTTGGGGGGGAAGTCTGGTCAAGGGCACAAATAGAGTGGTGTAAAGGCCTGAGATGGCTCTGATGACCCTCCGCCAGCGGGAACAGACTTTGTCGAGCGTCCATATAATGTTGTCTGGGCTATTTGATGGAACATGGGGAGCGAAGTAGCTGTCCGTGTAATATGTATTCTTCTCGTTGAATTGAATTCGCTGATCGCACGAGCAGAGAATAAATATTTCTCCATACAGTTCGTCAGGCAAATCGGCAAGCTGGGCCGTGGAGGCGTTTGCAAAGCGCAAGCCATTGGTGAACTTCCGATGATCGTAGTCGGTGTGGGTTGGGATTAGCTTATACATTGGAGGTTTGTGTTGGATTTGTGGACTTTGTGAGCTGGCCCCTGGGTAATGAAGAAAGTTGGAAGGAAGAGTCCTGTTGATTGTAGTTTGCATGAGAAAGAGCACAGCAAGAGAGCACAGCCTGTAGTTCGTATCAAGTTGAAGTCAATTTCGGGTTCATTGCTGACGCAACCGCAGTAATTATGTCTCCCAAGAATTGCAACCTTCGGAGACCCCAATTTTGATTCGGAATGCTTCAAATGTGCCTTTCTTGAGCTCAAATGGATGATTTCGATATCCTTGCAATATACTCAATAGGGTAAAAAAAGAGGGGGACCCAATTCAGAAGACACACGCTGATGTTTGAAGTTAAAGCTGACATACGCCAAACACATGCGGCCTAAGACACTAGATGGGGTGAAGATGATTAAACTTCAAGGCAGTTTAGGTAATCGAAGCACATCAAGCTGGGTGCATGGCTCAAGAGGAATAAATATGGGCGATGTACATATATCCAAGGCCCTTGAATGAACATGGAGTTGAAGGAAACATTGCCAGTACGTGCTTTAAGCGTGCGTCCAGTCCCTGGACTCTGTATTGCGGCTCGGAGCATTGTTTTTGATTTCATCCCATGGGTCATGGGAGAAAATTCGAGTCATTGACTCAAGTCTGAGCCTGACAGTTTCTAGGGCCATGCAAGGAGACAGCGGGGCACAAATTATCGCTCAAGGGGTTTCTTTACAGAGGGGCCGCAGGGTGCTGCCGGGGCTTGTGCTTGGATAATAGATTGACATAACTTTGACATTAAGTGGCTTGTTGGAGTGTCATGCCTTACAGCTGCAACGCAGAACGGTTGTTAAGTGGGCGCTTAGAACAGGGTGGTGACGTCATCTACGAACCTCGTGTCGTGGGGAGCCAGTCCGATATCTTGTGGCGGGATAGACGTTGTCCCACAGCTTTGTGATCCCAGATATATGTAGCAACTTTTTGCGCCAAGAACTATTATACAACGCCTCTCTTCGCGTTGTGTGCTAAAAGCTCGAGTCATTTCGACGAAGGAGGAGATCCAGGAGTTTGTTTCTCACTAGACAGCCCATGGGAATTATCTCTATCTTTCCCATCCAGGGCTCAACCTACGCACCGTCTGCCAGATGGAGGTGGGCACTGTTGACTGATGAACTGCGGGGTCGAAATTTCTGGGGACAAACCACTTTACATTATCGCCGATTAATATTAACAACAGATAGATCCGGACCCTTAATACCATATCGGAAGATACACAGATTAGCAAAGTATTGCATTGACCTCAGATTGTCTATATACATTGTTTCACGTCCAGCAGCAGATTGACTTTCCCGATTCCCGACAGCTCGAACAAAGCGTCTGGTCCCTGAAAACGTGGCCAGAAGCGCAATCCAATGAATCAGTCCCAGCGTCCACAATATCGAGACCAAAAGACCCAATTGGGAGCGGCTGAGTGATTTACTGTCATGGCCTGACCGTCGTTGTGGTTTGGACCCTCTCTTCGCTAGAGGCTGGGATGGGGTTCGAGTGAGTCGGGTTGAAGAATACCGCGAGGTAATCGATCTTCGCGCGCCTGGCTTTGCCTGTGTTTCTTCTTAAAGCCTCCGGGACAATAGCGGGGTGACCATGTCGTCTTCCGAAAAATGTTCTTCAAACCTTCCCTTCCTTTTTTTGGTAGATTCTTTTGTATTCCAGATTCGCAAAATCATATATGCACTTATTTTAGCAAAGCCATTTTCGACACGAACGTGCCACCCTTTGGTCGCATATCAACTCGATAGGTATACCGTGAAATCGTTCGTTCAAAACGTAGGAACATTCCTTAATGTCTGCCGAAATCTCTGTTGGCACGCGCCAAGTGCAACATGGCTACCTAGCGCAATGGTAGCGCGTTTGGCTTCGATGGCTCAACGGCTCCTTAGGCACCAAAAGGTTGCAGGTTCGAGTCCTGCGGTGGTCATTTTGTTCCACAGCAGGGTATATCCTATACCTTGTAAACGCATTCAATGGCTTTGAATTGTAACAAGGTGATCATTTTGCGAGAAGTCATATAGAGTCAATCGTGGCAAGTCATATTAATAAGGTTACAGTACGGTACTGTGAGTGTGATACAGAGACCGAGACGAATGTAGCAATGCGTAAAAGAAACAAATCAATGAAAATAAAATATGGCGTGGAGTAGAATGTCGTTTGTTGATTGGCAAGGGTCCGAAAAACACGAATTAAGGAGTATGCAGTGGTGAAAGAAAGCGAAATGGAAGGGTATTAGCCATGGGTATATTGCTGTTGCCGATAGCTTCCAATAGAGTTGGAACTCGATGTAGAAATATGCGATTGCATAGGTGGTGCGTGGTGATGATGGCAGTTGTAGTTTTGGTCTGCGAGCTCTGACGAAGACAAGGATATGTGGTTATAGGATCTGTCACCAACATCTTCATGGCCGCGGGGGTGATCGCCTTGGTCGTCTTGATCCAAGTCATCCTCGTCTTCTTCGGGTATAGGTGCTTCATATTCGTCATCAGACTGAGCCTCAACCTCAGCGTCGTTTTCATCGAAGATAGCATGGAACTGCGGAAGGGTTTCAGCCACGTCATGAATAGTGAAACTGAAATCAAACCTACGTGAGTAACGAACGCCTTGACGAGCTTATGAGAAAGGCCCATGTTGCTCAGGATCATGGCAAAATTATTCTGGGGAGCGCGGAGCAGATTGGGGCTGAAGACGATGGCAAGTGCGTCCGCTGTCATGTGGTTATCTTCTTCATTCTCGGTGACCCTAGAGTGGACGTCAGCATAAGTGGGGCGTATTGAGATACTCGAGTTTACTTGTCCAGATGTTCAGCTACTCGACGAAGAAGATCGAAATTGGCTTGTGGAAGGTCCTGCACAACACTTCGGATCGCCAAAAGTCGCTCATCAAAGTTTTCAATCCCTATAAAGACACTGGATGAGCATCTAGAAATGACGGGCGAGATCAGCTGATACATACTCATGGCTTCCATTATCTGATAGTACGATGGGGCAGGGAACACTGGTTCTGGCAGGACCCGGAACCAAGACTTGATTATGTCGCAGACGGCGTGTATATCTGTGGTTTCTTTGACTGGAGATTCACCACGATTGTAAGCATCCTTCAAAGCTGCGATCTCGAGAGCAGCTCCTGCAATACGGTCTATCAAAGGATGAGCATCAGTCATTTGCCACACGACAGTTATACTAGTCGACTCACAGATCCCAACTTCCTGGAGCCCACGTCTTTCAACTTCGTTTAGACACTCCTCAATGACACGGGGAACAGTTCCGGGTGCGACATCTCCTCCCATTGCCTCGCGGGTGAGAAGGAACTCTAGCTCCACTCCAAATACTGTTGAACTCGATTAGTCGCAGAATAATGAAAATCGCTGGTCTACACACCTGCACGAGGATCCTGGGATGCAATGATAGGCCGATCGTGGATGTGATCCGCGATTTGGGGCTTGGGCGATGATCCAATGTATGTAAGCCTCCGTTGAGCAACGCTCTGAGTGACTTTCGAGATCGTGTCGAGCCACTTGCTAAGGTCCTTTTTGGAATAAGACTGAAGCAGGTAGTTCCCCCCGTCCTCTGTCTCAAGCTGAAACATGTACGACCTCTCGTTGTTGATAAATTGAGCGGCGCGTGCATCCAGGATACTGAGGACCAATGCAGGTTTACCAGAGGGAGTAAAGTCGAGTTCGGCGGGCGTCTTCTTTACAGCAGCAGCGCTATGAGCATTGCCATTTGCAAGGGAAAAGTCGGCACCGAACGCGCTGGAAATGGGCCGCATGAAATTCAAGAACGCCGACATGCTCTTCTTGTTGCGGTGCTGTTTCTGCTGAGCCTGGGTGGAAGATGAAGCAGAAGCACTGCCAGGCTTGCCACGGGGTCCTTTCATAGCGCGGTTGAGGAGATCGTCCCGACGTTCATTGCGTGACTGTTCCATGGTTTTCTCGCGATGCATTCGAGAGCGGAGGGTCTTGTCACGACGGTTCTTCTCCAGCTGTTGAGCGATGGTTTTGTAGAAAGGACGGACTGCTTTCTTGACCGACGGAGGGCCGTTTGGACCGACTTGAACTGACTCCCGTGAGGCCTCTTCTCTGATATACCGGTGGTCGAACTGCAAATGGTATACCTCCTTTTCGATGTTGTTCAGCCTTTCAAAGCCACGTCTGTTTGCCTCGTCCGATGGTTGATGCTTCCGCGTGGCAGGTAGAGACCACGCCTTGTTGATCAGGTTGCAGAGGTGTCTAGTGGGAGGACATTGTTAGTTACATCCAGTGGATCTCAAATAGCAAGGCTGCATACCTTCGTTTATCGAAGTTAATCAGGCTTTGACCTTCGCCTGAAGGGGGGTCCAGAACATCCGGGCTAGCAATGACTTCTAGCATCCTTTCCAATAACCATCCAATATCCACCGTCAGGCAATCAGTCGAAGACGTCGACTGAACAAAAGGCCTCAGCAATAAAGACGCTACCGAGTCGCATTGACATCCACGATTGAGAGCGACCGTTTGCCATGAGCGATGATGCATGCGACTCTCAATGCTGAGAATGGCTGAGGTGATAACGGCCTCAACGAAAGAGCGGACAGATGGCTGCAGTAGAGCGGGTGTTGATCGTGTGTTCTCTGCATTTCGAAGTCTGGCTACCTCGATGGCCTGGACAAGAAGCTCCATCCGTACCTGTCGAGCTCGGAGCCCGAGCCTAGGAGTTACAATCCTCGAAATGAGCCATTTACGTATGATCCCAAATGCTCGGATACAGCTCCGAATCCCGGGAGGTAGCTGGCGATATAGAGCGTCTTGCCCCAGCTCCGATATAAGAGGGGATGCTTCGACTTCTTGCAGGTGACTGTAGATAGATTGAATTTCGACGACCTCCTCTGCTGAAGCCGGTTCTTTGGTTGAGAACCAACCAGTCTTATCCGAAGTCTGCACCTCTAGTAGGTCGGCGGTGATGTAGAGGTCCTATATAAGGCGAAGAGATGAGCTAAAATGAATGAAAGCGTAACATACAAGGAACCATACCTCTTCGGTAACATTATTGAACGCCGCATATGCCATGCCGTCCAGGTTATCAACGAAATCCTCGGGGTCCATTCGATCAAAGTCAGGGGGTTCCCTTGGCGCAGTATGCTTGGTCCTGACCGCATTCGTCCCAGGCACACGTTTCTGGTTATTGAGGCGATTAAGCGTAGGTCTCATCGTTTGGGAGGAAAAGCATGCTTTCAGAATCTTGTGGTTTTCCTGCAGCCCAGCCCACACTTGACGAACAGTAGGGCCATCAAAGGCATCCGCTTTGTGCACGAGGTGGTCAGAAGGACCATTCAAGAATGATTGAACCGAGTTATACAACTGGGAATCGTCCAACACATCCTGGGCACCGCCACCAATTGTCAACCATTCCTTCATTGTCGTCAAAACTTCGTTGCGCCTCGTGGCCACATCAATGTATTCCCCAACCGGCGGTGAAGAGCCGACAGGCTGCGATGTAATGTAAAGCTTGCGCAGTAACTGAGATGAAAATCCGTCAGCCTTTTGTCTTATGCTTTTAAACGCGTAGCCAAAACTTTACCTCGAAGAAAACGTAAGGAGTTACAAAGCTTCGGAATGTATTCCACCAGTTTGTGGAAAACTCCACCCGGTCAACGACTAGCTCACGGGATTTGCCTTCAAGGAGAGCCATCTCGCCGTTATCGTCCGCCACCGAAACAGAAATATGACCCAATCCGTGGACAAGGATGGAGACGAGATGGTCAAGAGTTCCTGCTTGGACGATGACACGGAGAGGAGGCTCTGTGGACGTCTCTGCGATAGTGTAGTTCTGACGATGGGAAACAGAGGGTAGTGAGCTTCTTCGAGCGATGCTGGTCTTGCGGTTGAGGTCGTGAGATGTGCTAGGCTTGACGCGTATTGAGGGTGCGCGACTCATTGTCTTCTGCTCGCTAGCATCATGCGCGGAGCTAGTAGGCCTTGATGGTGCACGAGAGGGGGGCAATGAATCTGTACCACCAGCCTGGACCATGAGCAGAAGCTCCCCGTTGTTCAGCGAAATCACAGGCCCCGCCTTGCCGAAGATGTGAAGTTTGGTAAAGTCGGGGTTGAAGTCGAGACGCTGCAATGGGTGAGCATTACCGCGAAGGTATTGATGCATCTCAGCGGTATCGCTTTCAACACGACCACGAACAATATGTGTTCTGTCGACAAGGGTCTGGGCGGCCAGCGGCTCTGGGAAAAGCAGGGGTATCAGGACGGAAGTAGGGGGTTGGGTCTGCGGATACCGCTGCCAAAAATGCGGTTCGAAAAGACCCTTGCGTCGAGATTCAGCCGCCAACGACAGTGAGATGAATTGTTCCACTCTAATTCAGACTCATTAGCGCTAGTTTCTGGATGAAAAACGAGTACTTACCGCTGGAACTTGATCGCCAACCCGCTAGTCCTCCCGCCTTCTGCCACCTCCTTCCAAAACGCCACCATCCTTTTTAGATCCTCCCCAAGCTCATCTTCAGCAACAACAATGTTCCTCGGACACAGGGAGAACACGGCCCTGAAGCCTTCAAAGATGCTCTTCGCCTTGTGGAACGCAGACACAGCAAGCATCTGATCAGTCCCACTCTCTCCCTTCGCCTTGGCCAACTCATGTGCCAGCTGCTCCTTGAGATCTCCACCCCATGGTGTTACCTGTGGGTCATTAACCGTCAAGAGCTGGCCCTCACTCGAAGGGTACGACCACATTTCAACAATGGCCAGAGCCTGAGGATCCACCCTCCTCCATGCCTTGTCAAGCCTAGCAACAGGCCGAGAGCAGAGCGCAGCACATATAGCCCGCCACGAGCATTCATCACCAGCTCGCCTGCACAGCTCTCCAACCTTTGCCCACACCGAAATGATCTCTGAGCGATTGTGCGTTCGAGAGGTCTGCGTCGCCGCAGCAGCCTGCTGAGACCTGCCATCTTCTGATCGGCGTCCAGGTGACTGCAAGCCCTGGGCCTGCTGACCAGCCGCATACCCCGTAGTCAATACCTGCCCGTCCACACCAAAGATCTGCACCAACAAAAGCTTTGTCAACCAGTGCGGTTGCTCCTCCGTGCCACACAGAGTTGCTAACGGTGTCGCCAAAGATCCTTTCTTGGTCGCATCGAAGGGCGGAAGTAAATAGTCCGCAGTAAGGTTTTCTGGCAACTGTTCAAGGATCGAACGGTGGAAAAGGATAAGACTGCGAGCCAAGAGATGAGGATCGAGTTGGACAAGGAGATCCTTTGTGAGACCTTCTTCATGCAGTACATTCCACGGGACCCGGCTAAGGTGAGGTGGAACGCCGGCCGCAGGGTAAGGGTGTTCATAACTCCGGGTTAGACCAGAGGGTGATAAATTGTTGAGTGCATCGAGGAGTGGAACCATGCGAACTTGGCCGTTGTCCGGTCTCGGTGAGAATGTCGTAAATTCCGCTGTACTAGAGTTGATGGGTGAGGCAGGGTACATAGCCTGAGTCGAGGCAGAGGTGGGCATCCCAGAGGACGAATTGACCGCCTCTGCGCTGAGATCCACTCCGGGGAGTGTTTCCTCCTTCCAATCCCTCCATGCTGACCAGTCAACAGGCTTTCCATAGTGGCGAAGGTACTCGTTGGCCAGCCACGACACACCTGTCCTTTCTGTTTCTCTCGCGTCATCTTCCACACCACTAATCAGATACGAGCAGCATCGAAGGAATTCGGGTTCGAAAGTCAAACGATCGATGAGGCTGGGGAGAGAGAGGAGGGTTGAGGAAGCAAAGTCTTTCCACACCGTGGAAAATTGCTCGCTGGGTGCAAGACGGCTTGCTTCTTGATCACCGTTGGCGTTCGCGCTGCGGGGTGCTGGGGGTGGATGGTCAAACGTGGTGGCGAATACAGCTTCGTGAATCAAAGCCTCGAATGTGCCCTTCACAATGTGTCCATCCGCATCGAGAATAAGGTCTGGGTGCGTACGCCTTCCCCAGTACGCCCTTTTCCGCCTCGCGCCAGCAGCAATGCTCTCTTCCCTGCCTTTCAATCTCCTACTATCTTCCCCATAAGTGTCAGGATCCGAAACAACCTCTTCAACATCCTCCTGCGAAGGCGGGACCAGGCCTGTCGGGAACAGATCCTTGATTGCGTTGGCTCGGTCTGAAGGAGGTTTGTAGAAGTACAGCTTCGACCCCTTCAGTTCCATCTTGTACGGCTTCCATCCCTTCGAGAGTTGCAGATTCGCGTGTTGTAGGTTGGCGGGGACGTCCGTTAAGCGGTTGATGAGGCCATTGTGCAAAAGAATTTGGGAAGTGCGCTTTGAGTCGGGGTCGGGCTTCTCTGTTTGCTCCTCGTGGGGCTCAATAATGGTAGGAGGGGGCAGAAGGGTAGTAGGACGGTGATTTATCGGTGAAGAAAGTGTTCCTGAAGTTGGAAGCGAAGAGGGTCCGCCAAAGGGAGTCGCAGAGACAGGGGTGTGTAAAGGACTGGCAGAATCCTTGCTGTGATTCCCGAACCCAAAGCCAAACCCCCGAGGTGCTTGAATGGGTTTATCGTTGTCAACCGTGGAACTTTCGTCTGGTTTTGGAGGACCCTGGTTCTTCGGACTGCTACTCGCAGGTGAGATTGGTGTGGCGAGCTTCGATGGGAGTTTGGGGGTAAAAGAATGGGATCGTGTGTGAACGTGTGTGGGCGTAAGGTTCCTTCCCGAATTGTTATCCTCAAGGGTAGGTGTTGACACTGACACCGAGAGAGTAGGTAAGGTCGAGCTTCGCGGTGCTGGGCCAGTACGAAGCACGGGTGGTGGAGAAGACGTCGGAGGCGATCCCGCGAGAGAGGGAAATGGGTGTCTCCCCGCATGCACGGGCGACGAGGTACTAGCATTACTCGAAATAGCGCTAGCGCTGCTGTCGCTCCTTCCACGATATTGCGCGACTCGGTCCTGAAAATTGGATTTGAGAGGTGAGAATGCAATTGGGCTTGTTATCTTGCTCAAATCATCAGCAGATCTCGACCATGCTCGTTTGGAAATGTTTCGGAGGTCACCGAGCGCATTTGGATGATTGGACGGAATCGTGGGGCTCGGAGGCATATTTGGAGGCAAGTCAAAGGAAGCTTGTGGTCTCGAGGACAGGTCAAGAACAGATCTATATCGATATAAGCTATTCGAAGGCGTCAAAAGGAACCAGGATACGCACTTGCTGCTCTGACTGTTGGAATAACCGCCTAATATTGGTCGTGGATCTGTGGGTCTTGATATCTTGGTTTTCCTCGCTGAAGAGCTGAGGCTCGGTCGCGATTCCGCCGTCGAAGAAGGAATCTTGCTGGCCGATACACTGCGACTGAACCATTTGGAAGGTTTTGCAAGGAACTGGGTAAAGCCTGAGGGTGACGTGGATCGAATGGCACTTGGCGACGGTGGGGTATTCGGTGATAGAGAAATCTGCGGCGAAAGCGCGTTCGACGACTGACCGCGCTTAGGCGCCATTTCCCCAGTTATTCTGGCAGATTTCGAATATAATGTCGGTCGTAAGAAAAGTCGTTGGGCGTTTCGTTAAAAAGGGTGTCGGTCCTTATAATTTGTGGTCTGATATCTGACAATTGAGAACCCCAAATTTTGAAGTGAAATCAAGTAGATACACACGGAAGCGCTGGGTTCGTTAAGAAATAAAGAAAACTAGCAGGGAAGAACGGAGAACATAGAGGTTGGAGGTCAAGAACCTTGGCTCAAGAGCCACGACGCGCCATCATGGCGACTGGCAAATTGAACACCGGAGCCTCAAATTCAGAAGAAACGCCCATCATCAGAACTGATAGCCGCGACCTTATTTAAATCCTCCAATGTTCCAAACGAATAGTGGCTTGATAAATGTATACAACATGAGATGGTCGCTAACGCCAATACCGCAGGAGTTACCCCTGATAACAAGGTTTACCATGCGGTTTTGCAGATGCCAACAAGTATTGGGGGCGGGGCTTACGCGACCTATACAGCTTCAACGGCATAGACGGGCCCATCCGCCCTTGGGACCGAGGTAGAAGGCGCAGTAAGCACTTACCAGCTCTAGCCTCCAGTTGAGCCCTATCTCTGACCCAACTGACGCGTCTTTTGTTCAGGAAAGATTAGCGTCCATACATCGCGTGGCGGTGGCAGCGCATGGCATTCTGCCTCCTCCTACCTCCCGCTGTACACGGCTTTTCGACCACGTTTACCTGTCGGACCTCGCATATCTATGGCTTGAGTGCGTACACATACGTCCTTTGAACCTGCCAAAACTGATATATTGAAGCGACACGAGGTAGGATTTGTTTAACGAACGCCACATGCCTTCGTAAGACACCCCACAAAGTCGTTCGAGAGGGAATTATAAGGCACCTATTGGCTACCTCGAGGACGAACGGAGAATTCACGTTGGACTGCAATCTGCGCATTGGAATGGAGAAAGTCCGATAAGGAAGCCACGTTCGTACACAGCCCTTGGTAATCAGACAGTCCTGGGTGTCTTTCTGACTGGGAGTTCAACCCTTTCAGCATACTGCAGCTCTCATCCAAATGAGTTCTCCGTCGAAATGGGCTGAGGACGTCAGACAATCAGCATGTACAAGACACCAGCTGTGCGTCTGTCCCAAGCTGTGGGAGAATTACGAGCAGATAACCGTCGCAGACGTGAAGGAGACCAACACTGATATGTCTTTGCTTCAACTTGAAGCGACCCTTTGCTTCAGGCCTGACGGACATTTCGGAGATTGGCCTATGTGAATGATACACGCGACAAAGTGGAGTATGCCACGGAAGCATTCGCGTCTATGGAGACCTGAAAGTTGCCTGAGAGTCTGAGACTAGACCTGTTAAAGTGGATAGACGGATAGTTAAAGGTTATAAGGTTATATTCAGGGAAGACATGCAAAATGGTTGCAATGGTAACACAGATGCGACAGCGTTCTGTCATAAATAAGAGCCTCGATAGCACAAACTACTTCTTCACAGGCCCAAAATTACAAGCAGAGCCCTCCTGATCTGGAATTATCTTCATCTTCAAACATATGGACGTTTATGCGAAAAAGAAAGCTGCACTGTTCCTCGTCGAGGTGCTACCAGGGTTCGAACCTGGGTTTCGGGAAATCAGAAGTCTATCTTCAAAATCCCGAGTGATAACCACTACACTATAGCGCCATGTATGTCGTGGTGCGGGCGTTCGACTCCGCCGGGCGTCGCCAACGGAGGGTCACCAGGAGTGACCAGGTTATCTGGTCTTCCAAATTCACAACGCGCAGAAATGTTCAAGAAATGGATACTAGGTATAATGATTACACGCTGAAAATATTACCATACACGATCTCTCATTATTACCGGAATCCTGAGTCAGCAAACGGTTCAGGTTGCGTATGAAACCTCAAATACGACTGGTTAAACGAATCACTAGCATCGGACGAAAGGCTAAACTTCTCCCTTTTCGGACTCGTGCTCGTCCTAGTGGCACCCGCCTCCAGCCCAGCTCCATCGCTTCTGGGCCCAGCGGACAAGCTTGTCTGAGGAAGCGGGACTCCGTTTTCGAATACATTCGCCCCTCCCTCATTCATCATCTGTCTTTCCTTCTCCCTGATAAACCACATCTTCACCCCGATGGCGAAGAGGAGCAAGATGATTCCGCCCGTGACGCCGAATCCCACCGCAAACCCGATTACTCGTTTCTTCTCGGCATCCGTCTGAGCTGCTGCAGCTTCTCCCGTTATCGTTTCAGCTCGCTTTGCCAATTCGCTCCTGGCGCCAATTTCGCCGCCTTGATCGCGAAGGGTCGCTTCTGGCGTCGCGCCTGGGACGACTTCGTTCTCGAGAGTTGTGTAACTACACTCACCCTTTAGTTCCAGACAATATCGCAACTAAGCTTGAACTCACATAAACGACGAGCGCCGGTCCTTCACCCAGGGCGAGATTCGAAGGATATGTTGCCCATCTCCGAGTCCAGTCCATGACAGCATCGGCTCAGAACCACCTTCTTCTTCCAGACTAACTACGCCTCCCTGGCCGTCCAACTCGTAGCGCAGGTGACAGCCTGCTCGACTTAACATCGTCGGTACAGATGCATGCACAGCAACTCCTGTAAATGAAACTCAGGATAAGCGCCCAGAATCACACACCACGAAGCTTAATCTGACGAGGGGGTGGCCAATGGACTAAGCTACTCACCATTGAAGGTAAAAGATACAGCGCCCTCAAATCTCGACGACAGACATGGATAACATCCTCCACAGGCTTCGCCTAGATGTTGACCGTTCACAACCCTTAGCCTGGACTGTTCATATCCCACTCGCCGATCATCGTACCCAGCCGACACGTTCCTTACACCGGCCACGTTTTCGATGGAGTACAGGCCGAGTAAAGCTATAAGGAGGAGAAATGGAGCCGATGGTACCATGAAACTGCAGAAGGGGATGACCGTCTTCATGACAGTCTGAAGGACTCCAGAAAGGACAAATCGCCCCATAATATCTGTCAAAGCCAATCATCCAACGTGTAACGATCTACCGAATACGGTCAGGTCTAAATTTACCAGAGAGAAGACAGATAAGACTTCCCACTCCATAATTGCTGACCATATTGGGCTGGCAATGAAACCAAAGTAGTCCTTCGCGGACGAGAAGTGGCGCAAAATACGGTTTGGGCGTTTATTACTATCGGTGCCGAGATGGAATGGTGAAGGCGGGATGTCAAAAGGCAAAAAATAACGGGAGAGTGACTGTTGGAACAATCTATTGTTGCGCCACCACAAAAATAGTCGCCTGAAGTTTGAACAACAAAAAGATTGACCGAGGTAGGGGTCGAACCTACAATCTCCTGATCGCGATGCTCTGAGTCGTAGTCAGACGCGATGCCATTTCGCCACACGGCCATGATATGACAGCTCAACGTACCATACTCGACACGACACGGCCCCACACTGTAGCACTTCAAGAAGTGCTCGCAAACACCTGAATGGTTCATGAACCCCTTCTCATCATTTTTCGTTTATGTTCTGAAATTCGATCCATTGCTCACTGTCGTCACTCTATAAGTGAGTTGTGAACACGGTTATCGGTTGGATAAGTACCAGAAAGCGACAGTAATGGTCACCCCAATGTACGGTGTTCGAGAAGGACATGGTTTGTTTTCACGCGCGAGCACCCTCCACAGCCACGAGTGGCTGTGACTTTGATGGCTGCGGCGCCTTACAGTTGACGCTCGATATTCGTTACCTTCCTGTGTCCTATGAATTAGGACACTCGATATGCGAGCAATTTGAGATACCCTACCATATAAGCAAGAGTACTAGATAAGGCATAATGCAATTAAAATTGAATATCCCAAAGAATAATCAAAGAGGATGCAAAGATGGCATTGAGGGACAGTCTGATCTCAGATAGGCGCGTAACTTACACCAATTATATACCCAAGCCTAAATGTCTACACTATCGAGAGAGTTGGGGGAATTTTCAGGCTCAGAGGGTGCAGTCGATGCACGGCTTGGGCCCCGAGATGCTGGTGGACTCTGCTTGTCTTTGTCATCCGGGTCAGGGCCAGATGAGAACTTGAGGGACATTTCTGTGACGTCGGTAAGACCCAAAGCTCGGCAGATCGAGTTACAGGTGTGTTGAGACACAAACTCGTCGACTCCGAGCTGACCCTGGTCTCCTAATCCGAAAAGAACTTGAGAACTATCGAAAGAAACAATGATGCACAAGTTTAGCCAAATTATGTACAGCACACGGCGTACCTGTGAATCATGGTGTCATAGAGGGTCAGATAGTGGGATGAAGTTCGCTTCTGAGAGAATGGAAGAGACATTGAGTCAATGCCTGAGCATCCAGATATCAGTAAACAGTAAACGGAGCAAGCAAACGAAAGGAAACCAACCTTGCAGGTCCACAAAGACAACTGTTCCTTGAGAGTCAAAGTAAGAGAAATGTGCGAAGGCGTCACAGGTTCTACCAGCTAAGTCCGCTCCGTTGGACCCTGCCTCGTTCGTGCCAGAGAATTTGCGGAATTTCCCGCCCTCAACCAAAGGATCCACAAGCCATGAGTGGCCCTTACGCATTCCATCTGACACGATAAAGAGGAATGCATCGGCAACCTTGATATCTATCCCACAGACGGTTAAAGCCTATAACAAGTTGAAGAACATTATAAATACATACCGTATACAGAGACCTTTAAACTCTTCGCATTTTCAATGAAGCGATTGACTGCCTCACGGACGACGGACTGTCGATGCAGTTCTTCTTTGAGATGTTGCTGATTTTCCTCGCTCGAAACATGAGGTCCGGAGCCCACATTGTAGTGGCACTTTGCAGCGTAAAGAGCATTGTTTGCGCGCATCTAAGTCGATGTTACAATGCAAAACCAATGTAGAGAGTTCAAAACTTACCTTAAATGCCTGCTTCGTGACTCCAGACTCAAACGGCTTGCGTTCGACTGCAGCAACCATCATCTCCTCATCTTCGAGCCAAAATGGTATACCATCCCCTTCGACAATCCACTGACCCTTAACCCCGCGATAAGACACGCTTGATACATTTGCGGTTGAGGGAATCCGTGTCATGTATAGCTTGTTTCCCGCAGGAGCAAGCTCTTGCATACACCGCATTAGTAGACCACTGAGATCGGTAAAATGAACACGTACTAGGCTTTTTTAAGAGTAGCTGCGTGCCTTCTTGGGTGTGGTCACCTTCACCAATGCTAAGACCACGCTTGGACCTTCCAGTGTTCTCAATCTAGTATTCGGAGCGCAAAAGCCGTGAGTACTGGATTAACAATAGCTGGAAGCTAGACTCACCTTGGTCTCATGGACAGAGTCATCCGAAATCTCAAGTGTGGTCTCCAGGTTCTCGTTTTGACAATCCGGGTCGAAGGTCTTAACAAGAATATGCAAGTCAACAACAACCCGTTTCACGTCTTGAAGAGGGATGTAAAGCTTGTTATTGGCACAGCTGGACCATAGATCCCGCAAGGTTTTGGTTCCATCGAACCATGTCTTGTCGACCTCTGCCTTTGAGGCGCTCCAAAGGAGGTCAATCTCTTCCCTAGTAACGGTAAGTCACAAAACAGAGGAATCATGCAGAATAAGCACTCACATTTCATACACACGATGATTATACTCCTTGGAGTAGGTGTTGTCTGCAATCCCACGAAGAGCAGCCAATACATCGCAGAGTAGGGTGTCCTCATCGTATGTAGTGTTCGTGACATTGAACCTTGAGGCTGGACTATGCTTTCCCTTGTCCCAATGCAGCATCTTAGACACCTGTGCGATACCATTGAGTGATAAGTGGACAAAGCATTGCAAAAGGCCTTACATACCTTCACATTTATATTGCGCTTCGCTTTTGCAGGCAGTGCTCGAAGCTGAGTTCCCCCAGAGGGCATGGCCGTCCGAAGCTTAGACGGTGCAAGGTGTGTTCCCGGGGCTGCACGGGACATGGCACGGGAGTAACTTGAGTGCATCTGCGATATAGTGTCCATTGCACGTTCACGGAGCTAATCAGACAGTTAGTACTGGATCTAATGGGACATGGCGCAATTGAACCTACATCGTCCTGTCCCTCATTCGCTGGAGCCCTTGGGTTGACTGGATTAGCCATTGCATTAGCAGCGACTTGTTGAACTCCACTTGCTTTATCGAGTCAGATACAAGGTTCCCTTACTGGCAGCAATAAACAACGTACCAGACTTGTAATATTCACAGGCAAAGCAGCTATCTCGGTCAAGAAACTCATACACCTTTCCACAGTTTGTGCACATGCCCCACTCATCCTCAGGAAGACGTTGCTTGCGAGCACAACGGCCGCAACGCTCTTCTTCAAGGCAGGGAAAAGCACGCGAGCAACCTGAGCAACGATGAGCCATGATGATGATGGAAGCTTGAGAAGTATTGAGAAGAACGTGATTATGGGGGTGCGAAACTGTTGTATTCTCTCTGTAGACTTTATACATATTCTGTGCGTGGCTAAGTACACAGAGCTCTGAGGCTTACATGGTGTGAGCATGTTCCGGAACCCGGCTCCAGATACCAACTTTGAAATTCAGGCGGGCTGCATGCTCTGTGTGACTCATTGCAAGTCTCCAACTGCGACAATTAGCACTCATCCTTGCCGATTCCCGCCCCAGTGAGTTTTCGCGAGCTGTAATTAGGCCTTGAG